GCCCAAAATGTGTCGAAGCCACCCGTGGACGATTCCAACCATCTCTTCAATGCTCTATGGTTGCTCTCCACCCTAATATGTTTAGAATATGCTATGTTTCAATAAACTACATGACAGTAAGTTAAGTATATGTATTTAACCACTTATAAATAAATACCTGCTTGTCGATGTATTACCCAAATGGAAAATTAGATCCGTCCATGCTTTTACAAATTTCTCTTTGTATACGAGCCAAGTGTATTGGAGATACTCAATCAAATCTGGATAATTCGCGTACTCGTCCGTCAAAGCTGTGTAATTCCTGGCGAAATCTTCTTCAGACACTGATTTTACCAAAGTTTGCCACACGCCAACTACAAAAGCCGTGCCGCGACGCCTACTATTGCCGAGACATCTTGAAGCACGACGCCCCACATTCATGTTAATGTGCCAAAGACATAAGAGATGAGGTACGGTCGGAAATACATTCTCTAGCGCCTTTATGAGCCCTAACTCTCGATCCGTCACGATGGCACTAGGTAGAGTCTGAGGGGGGAAAAGTCTCTTCAGCTTTTGCAACACCCATGTGTAATGGTCTTCATTTTCATGGCGCAAAAATGCGACTGCAACAGTAAAATTTTTCCCGACAGGAGTAACACCAACAATCTCCAACAAAGGCAATTTGTACTGATTTGTTTTGTAAGTACTGTCAAGTAGTAATACGTACGGAAACTTACTTAACAATTCCACAGATTGAGGGTGAGCCCACATCAAATCAGTAACTGCATGTGTAGTTTCATCAGTGCGGAACCACTTGTAATAGTTATGCTCCTCAAGCAACCCAATCAAATGTTGCATCACTGTACGGTCACCCCTAGATAGTCTTTTCAATTTCGCCTTCTGATTGTATATTTGTTTTGAATAAGCATCGAGGCCCAAACCATTTTGTCTCAAGTTAGCCAAAATCTTCTTGGGCGGCACATGACTTTGTGACAGATCACTAATGATCTTCGCCTCCTCCTGAGACAATGCACTCATCCCATGCCCGGACTTGTATATCGGAACATGATTATGCTTCCCGTATATTACTCTGACCTCCCATTTATCATCCCATCGTAGCTCTCCGACAATATAAAAACCACAGCCTATCTTTTTGCTACCGGTCCTTCTCGGGCGCGCTTCTGGATTAGTTGATGGACATTCTCGTTTTTCCCCGAATAGGTCACAAGTCAAAAAAATCTTTTTTTTAGGACTGCTTCTTTTTACTATTTTCACAAAAAGACCTCTTGCAACGAACCTCACCCAAACCACTACCTCATCCTTTGAGTCAAACAACTGAGTAGTGGTAAAATAATCGGTATGATCAACTTCAAATGTAGTCGTATCGTCCTGAAAAAAACATAAAAAAATTGATTTAAAAAAAAAAAAAAAAAAAGGTTTAAAATTCAAAAGCCCAAGTCGGGCGCCCGGCAGTGCAGTGCACGCCCATGTTGGGCGTTTGAATGTTTAGCCCAGTTTTTTCGATCGAAAAGACGGAATTTTTACCTCGCTGTGTTCGCTATCCCGATCTTCATTCGATAAATTCATTTATGTTCGTATATCACACCAATAAGAATGATTTGTGAAGAAATTGTCTTGAGAGCAATTTTTTTTAGAGAGAGAGAGAGAGAGTTTTTTTGAACGGTAAATAGCCTTTTTCAAACGGTAAAAAGCAAATCATCACTTAAAAAAATAAAATTGAAAAAGATACAGAAAGAGGAGAAAGAGAAGAGGGGAGAGGGAGAGAGAAAGAGGGGGCGTGTATTTAAGGAGGGGGAGAGAAAAAATGAGTAGGAGAGAGAGAGAAAGAAGGGGCACGTGAGAGTGATTGAGAGAAGAGTAATAAGTGGAATTTGTTAACCACTTTTATATAAAATTAATTGTTAATTGAGGAGGGTTTTTTTGTCTATACACTAATAATTAAATTTAATTTATATTAATTTTATTGGGCAAAGGACTTATGCCTATATTCATCTAATAGAATGGACCTCCACCTATATAAGTCCATAATTAGGGGTGTCTAGCCAATTTCCCATATATATATATATATATATATATATATATATATATATATATATATATATATATATATATATATATATATATATATATATATATATATATATATATATATATATATATATATATATATATATATATATATATATATATATATATATATATATATATATATATATATATATATATATATATATATATATATATATATATATATATATATATATATATATATATATATATATATATATATATATATATATATATATATATATCTGTATATGTATATGTATATATATATGTATATATATATATATATATATATATATATATAAATATATATATGTATATCTGTAAATGTATCTGTCTATATATATATATATATATATATATATATATATATATATATATATATATATATATATATATATATATAATATATGTATATGTATATTGCTATATATATATATGTCTGTATATATATGTATACCTTAAACAAAAAAAAAAAGAAAAAGAAAAAAAGAAAAAAAAAAGAGGAAAATAGCAAAACCCGAACTCGACCCGAAATAACCGGGTACCCGGTTGCCGGGTACCCGGTTATCTCAGGTCGGGTTCGGGTAATTTTTTTTTTGCAAAAAACCCGAATAACCCGACCCGAATAACCCGAATAACCCGACCCGACCCGACCCGAATGCCCACCCCTACATATAACTATTATTTTAATGATCATTAACAAAATTCACTCGATAGATTATCCTTTTCTTTTCCGGATAAAACTCCATGTTTTTTTCTAAAATTCTTAAAATTATTTTTTCCCACTCTATTCGATTATGTGCCATAATATAACACAACATTATTCACTATATTCACCGTGCAACGCACGGGTGTATTACTAGTTTCTAATTAAAACCCAATCCCCCGTCTTCTTCATTCACACACAGTACACGCACTGAAAACCCTCAACGGAGCCCTAAAATGGCGTCCATCACATCACTCTCCGTGGAAATGGCCGCTTCATTTCTCGGTTTCGCCAAAACCCAATCTTCGCCGATTTCCTCTATTCATTCCTCCCTTTTCTTATACAGAAACAGACCTAATTTTTTTGCTCAAAGCCGCAAGTTTTTTACCAGTACCACCTATGGCGGTTCGAGGTTTGTATATTCGGAGCGGCCGAGTAAGCGTTTTCCCCTCCGGTTCGCCGTATCAGCTGCGGCCACGTCAGCACCGGAGACTGAGGGTTCTGATTCTGTGACTAAAATTCCTCCGGATAATAGAATCCCGGCCACCATTATAACTGGTTTTTTGGGCTCTGGAAAGGTTCTTTTTTACTCTAATTTATGCTTTTTTTTTCGTTTAATTGCAAATTAGAAGATGGGTTTTATCGATTGTGTTCAATTTTGCAGTATATGCTAAACTGAATTTATGATAAATATGGTTTTTTTTTTTCTCTATGTTGATTTCTGATAATTTGTGTATTACAGCAGTGAATTTTGATTCTTGACTAATATACCCTCTCACTTGTGTTTTAATTGCTTGACAGACAACTTTGTTAAACCACATATTGACCGCCGATCACGGAAACGTATTGCAGTCATCGAGAACGAGGTATAATGCCGTCTGTGTAATCGGCTCGACTAATTGGAAATGTCTAGATTCTTGATGGGATTAAAAGATTAAAAAAAAAAAAAAAACTTATTTGGAGTCGATTTAGAGTGTGGTTGTAATAACTTTCTATTGCCTTGTTCGGGTGTTTTTTTTCTTTCTTTCAGTTTGGTGAAGTTGACATTGATGGCTCTCTAGTTGCCGCAAAAGCTGCTGGAACTTTGGACATTATTATGCTCAACAACGGGTGTCTCCGTTGCACCGTGAGGGGCGATCTTGTCAGAATGATTGGAGAATTAGTTAGTCGAAAGAAAGGAAAATTCGATCATATTGTTATCGAGACAACAGGTAATTAATATTGATTTGATTACTAGAAATTGATTAGTTTTGCTACGAGTATCTTTTCCCCCTCGAGAAGATTCCCTATAGTTTCAAATATTGCAAAAGAAACAATACAATCAAAAATATACATGTTTCTTTTGCAGCAGCATCAATAACACGACTTTTCTGAATCCCACAGAAATCTACATCACCAAGTTCAATTCCAAGCACAAAAATCAACATTTGTAATGTAAGAAACGAAATAATCAACTAAGAAATTCCAAATATTAAAATTTTAAGCAAATATGGGGTTATGTAATGTATTTCTTATATGACATTTGTAAAGTCATGTATTTCTTATGAATCAAAATTTCACATAACGTATAAACTAAGAATCCCACCAATTGATATTAAAAAAAAAAGGAATCAAAATTAAGAAGAAAATAACTGAAAATCCAAATTATGTTATTTCCCCAAGTGAATCATGAAGAAGACAACGAAAAATTAAAATACATACTGTATAGGCAAGAAATCCTCAAAGGCCTTTGCACTGAGCGGCTGTGCAAAGGCTCATCCCACTCCCACTCCTGGACAAATTCTGAAAAATTTGCAAAAATTATACCTAGCCGTTGGAGAACAACTTGCCTTGGGATAGTGTGATGAAAACTGATCCATTGACGACTTGGGACTTGGCTCCGGCTAAACCCAATCAGATGGATGGAATATACGGCGGTTGTATCAGATGGATGATACAGAAATCAGAGGAGAAAGAAGTTATGGGGGAGAAGTTTTTTTTAGGCGTGGCAGATGAAAAACCGCAAAAAAATATTATTAAAAAAGAATCCTTAAGACTATAAAAATTACAAAAACTGCCCTAGGGTTGCCTAGGTTTTGAAACCCTAAAATTGCCAGGTGTCAAAATATTAGACCATGGGATTGTCTTTTTATATATATATATATATAGATTACCAATTAACAACTACTAGTATTACACCAGTGCGATGCACGGTAAATACATATTTATATTTTTCTTCAGTGAAAGGTATATATTTCTAATTGGGATCGAATAAAAATATGAACATATATATGCGTATAATATTTTAATAACTTGGTAAAATATTTCAGCAACCTGTAAAGCATCATAATCAGAATACAACATATGATTTTTAACATACTAAATAAAACATACAGTTAATCATGAACAAATAACTATAGAATGGAGAAAAACAAAACTTGATAAAAGCAAATGAAACTTATCAGAATGGAACGTATTCATTGTCTTAACTTAAAAATTTAATCTCTTTGTACATCCATTAATAATAGTCAATTCCGACCACAACATCCATAGATGTCTAAAATATGTTGTTATAATTATATATGTCTAAAATATATGTGTGCACTCCTAAAAATTAAAATTGTTAGTAGTTAGCAGAAAGATTCTTAGGAATAATAATAGCACAAAGTGAAGACCTGCCAGTACGTCCAATAACATATCTCTGTCAATAGTTGTGGACCATATTGCTCCATTGCCTACTCCTCAGTTCCAAACTGTTCACTTTCTTCAATAACTACATTTATCATGAAAATATGCTCACCCGATTTCTCATTGAGTGGCTCGTCTTCGTTTGCCTTTAGCGAAACTTCCTACATCAACAATCGTGGAGCTTGTTTCTGATCCAAGGCCGACAACCCTTGAGTGAATCTTGGTTTCCATTTCTAGAGAAGACCTTGTTTGTGCGGTGGAGCTTGAAATGAGGTTCAATATACATAGACACAAATAAAATTTTAACAACAAAAGGCTTCTTACTGGTACAAATTAAAATCGAGAAAAGAGATATTTGAAGATTAAAACCGACAAATTCAAAATACTCACCATCGTTTCTATCTCGAACTTCTATTTCCTCCATTGAGTTCATGAATTACAAAAAAAAAAAAAAAAAAAAAAGAAACATTCAGAATATTAGCCCGTATCAAAATTTCAAACAAATTAAAATGAAATCTTAGCACTCTCTAAAAGTAGCAAATCTTTGCATACTCCATTCTCTCGATGAAGAGGCCCTATGGGGGTTTCTCGGTGGAGAAAATTGGAGTTAATGGCTAGACATTAAATCCAATTTATTCCACCATAACAACATACCTTTAGGAGTCTAAAAATTAGAAAGACTACATCCCTATGCAATCTCCTTTTCGACCTTGAATATACAGGGGTTGGATAAAATTCGTTGCTTCACAAAATTGCTATATCCTGAGTTAGTTCAAGCAAAATAGCAATCACAGAGTTATCGTTTGAATGGTAAATTCAAAAGTATATTTACGTGGAACAAAGAAAGGAGGCACGGGAAAGATGAAATCTGAATAGAAAAACAAAAGCATAGCAAGTGATCAACTGATGTTGAATATACCTGCAAAATTATTGTATAACAGAAGATTGTATAAAGCTAGATAATCGCAACGGTTTAATCTTAGGAATTTCTCTTCTCGTATTTTTAGAAAATCTAAAAGCCTGAATTAAGTAACTTTCCCCTCGTTGCTATTTAACTTGTACCGACTCATCCATAACAAAGGACTTGATTACGAAAAATGAAAAACATTCAAATTGAATACCAATAATTGACAGAATCCTTACAGAAAAGAAAAAAAACAGGCATTTTTTAGACTACATAATTAGTTACAATACCACGCTATCCATTCACAGCCTGAAAATAACCATGCTAAAACAGTTGAGAAGATGTTAGAGAAATAAACGCTTAGAGAACTTTGTGAACCCGTGGCAAAAAATTATGGCAAGAAAACGACAAATAGAATCGAAGCAAAACTGAAATATAATGTGATAAGAAATTCCAAAGACAACAATTGTCAGAAATCCGAATCCGACAGCATCCCACTAAACACAGATTGATGGACAATAAAATTAAGCGCATTGAATTAAACTTGAAGAGCAGAGGAAAAGCGACCTTGAACACGCCTTCAACTCCCCAGATTTCTTTCCACTTCAAGTCGATCATCCGACGTCGACAAAATCACGAATTATGCATAACGTGGAAAACATGGAAAAAAGAAAACCGGCCATTTGTTGAAGAGAGGAGATGCAAACGTGATTGAGGGAGAAGTTTTCAAATCGTGGAAGTTTTTGAACAGGAGATGAGTTTTAATATCGTGTGGAGATTTTATTTTGAATAACAAAAGCGCCATTAGAAAACCAAGAAATTACCAAAAAGGCCCTAGGGTTTTAAAACCCTAAAGAGTGCCACGTGTCGACATATTATGCCTAGGATTGTCTTTTTATATATATATAGATAGATTTTATTTCCTAATTAGTTCAGGTCTCTATCTCTGAATTATCTATATAAACAACTTCAACGTCTATTATAGTAAATCAGAAAAAAGAACCGAAGAAAGAAAAAAAAAATAATAATCAATCACACGCCTGAAGGATTATTAATCCAACATGACAAGAAATCCCAAGAACAAGAAGAGAAACACTAAAGCTGTTTCGAGTATGTTCGATAGTATTCCCCATGAATTGGTTTCCGAAGTTTTAAGCCGAGTTGCATCGTCTTCCATCAAGGACATCTTCAACGCCAAATTAAGGTATGTTTATATAATACAACTTCAAGAAACATGTTCTTGCATGATTATGGTTTTACGTCCGTTGATTTATTTTCGTTCGTTTTGTTTCTTTTCCTTTATTTAAGATGTTTAAATTTTCTTTTCGATCTCAACCAATTCTTTATAAACTGAAATTTTGAATCCGGATATTATGTGGGTTATCGAGTTTTCTTTTATTAATTATCAATTGATATAATCTTGAGCGATGTGTGTTTGTGCGTGTAAGCATCATCTTTGACGATACCTTGGATATTTAATTTTTCTAAACACAATTTTTTTTTTTTTGGCACAGCTGCAAGATGTTGAATGAAATCGCGAAAGATATGTACGTGTATCAACGTGTATCGCTAGACGAGGTTCCGATCATACCATGGAAACCGATAAGCCAAGAACAAGAAACATTCTTGAATACGTGCCTACAATCCGAAAACCCCGAGTCGTTGTATAGACAAGCAGTTGTAAGTTTCTTGATTTCAAAAAATTAATTACCAACGAACTTTTTCGAATTAGTTAAGTTATATTAATCAAAATTTAATTAGTTTTTCTATTTTTTTAAATCTTTTTCAGCTCGACTACTTCAACAAAACGAATCTGGAATCAACGTGCATGCACTTACAGAAGGCGGTGAAAAACGGCCACACAGGCGCTCTGTACGTAACCTGCATTGTTTTACTATTCAGTGGGAACGAAGAACTCAAGCAACAGGGCATCAAGTTATTGGGGAACATGAAAAAGACGAATGGATTGAAGAGAAGGCTTCGAATTTGCCGCAATAATTTGAATAGCATTCTGAAGATGATTTGGGTGAAGAACCCGGTTTTGCTGGAGCCGCCGGTTTGCTGTACGACACGAGATCATCATCACAGGAAAAGTCGATGGTCTGAAGTAGAGGAAGATGTCACGTGCGAGGCTTGTGTTGCTGATCAAGAGATTAATTTACTTAGTGGTAGATACAATTTTGTTTAATGGTTTGATTTATTAGCAATTATCTGTAAGGTAGCTAGTGTTCATTGTTTCAATCGATGAATTCAAAACTTCAACTTAGTGATTTTCTAAATAACAATAAATTCACTTGAAAGCTATGTGATTCTTCCATTGTAGCCTATTTCCGATTTCCCGCTGATTCTCATTCGAATATTTTCAACTTTAAAATAATTTTTTCATTCCAATTTCTGTTTTTTCGAGATTATTTAGACCGTTCCAATATATGATCCAACTTTCGGTTACCGAATAATTCCGAAAATTCCGATTTCTTCTTAATATTTCAACTTATGTCTGCAAAATTTCCAAATTCGATTGATTTTGATCCAAAACATTTCAATTAAAAAAAAAGTTTTTTTTCATTCCAATCTTCGAAAACCCGATTTTGCCAAGTTACGTGTGGTAGTTTTTCACTTCCAAATAAAGAACTAATTCCAGGATCCGTCCCGTTTACACCACTGCATTTAGAATGAACTTAGCTCTATATTTGGAGCTCATTTATGTGTTTTTCGATATTAAAAACAACCGAACATACCAAAATACTAAGAGAAAACAACCGAACATACCAAAATACGAAGAGTAAATGCACATCGATTAACAGTAAATCAGTAACAGATTATTTAAGCAAAATAATTCAGCAGCTAAGGCGGGGTGGAATGTTGGGATTTATTATTTAATATAGTATTTAATTATTAGTTAGTTAGTATTTTATTATTAATTAATTAGAATAGTTTATTTAGGATATATATTTAGCCGTATGTTTAGTGATTAGGGATTATTAAGTATTTTATTAGTATAGGTAATTATCTTTCCTAGTTAGATTAGGATTCTAGGGTTATTATCTTTAAATAGTCGTCTTGTGCTAGGGTTTTGATTATGCAGAGAAATAATAAAGAATAGTTTTCATAGTTTTCTTGAAGAATTCTTATGATACACAAGAGATCGCATCAATTGGTATCAGAGCGAAGTTGCGATTAACACCAACGCTTCGATCGATTCTGCCGGTGTACCTCCGGCCAGATCCATCTTCCTCGGATTCCTTGTTGCCCTCACCTTTGATAACAAGTGTGTTCTGCTCCACAGAAACCTTCACATCTTCTATCCCCAATCCGGGCATATCCATTCGAAGGGCGGAGGCGGAAACAGGGGATTCCGTGAATTGGTCCATCATGTTCAGTATTTGGGACAAGTTGCTCCTTGCTGAGAACGGATCAAACACACCTGCATTTATATGCAAGTAAATTCAGTAACAGAGAAACATTACTTTACAGCAAAAGCTATGAGAATTGCATTCCGATCTGAATCTGATTACACAAGCAACGAATAGGTCTCCGACCAACACTTTCCACTGGAATCAATTTCTAGATTGAGCTAGTGATTTTGTGTGCGGCAGATCTGCTAGACTTGACGATGCTGGCAGAGACACCGTGCCGGACGAAAGGAGGCGCTTCAGGGCGAGTGATGATTCAGCCATTGTTGAAGATGACGAGTGAATTCTGATCGAAAGCTTGAAGAAGACGAAAAAGCAATGCGAATTTCTGAGGGTTTAATATTCGGAATGGCGGAAATGTAAGCTTGTCGTATTTATAGAAAATACGCGAATATGTAGAAATTACTCGAGTCGAGATCGAACTATTTGGGCCGGATGGGCTTCGGTTTCTGATTTTATAAGCTTTTATATTTTATTTTGCAGTTTTAAAATTTCCCCAGCTCAAAATAAATAAATAAAATAGTTCTATTTAAATTAAGGATGTAGATGTAAACCTTTGTGTTTTTCGATTGCTTTGATTAATGCAATATGTTTTTGCATGAGGTTAGGGTTTTTATCTCACCAAATAGATCAATCGAATTGAAGCTGATTCTTTACATATTTTACTTTCACTACTATTTAGGATGTACTGTTAAAGAATGTTATTTACAATGATATGGACATTTAAAAAAGAATCCACTTTACAATATTTGGCTACATTCATATTGATATAAAAGTATTAGAATTAATTAATTCCTTCATAAATAAATTAACATATTATAGTTACATCTCTGATAGTCCTATCCTTGGCTAATAAGTACATGTTTTGACCTTTGATCTAATAAGGCCAAAAAAACCCCAAGAGAAAAGTTATGTGGTCAAAAACTCCATGTAATCAGCAGTCAAAGTCATACACCCCCTCTCTTTCGTTCGTGTCATTCACGTGCTATCTATGTATACAATTATTTTGTGTGAAAAGAGAGGTTGTAAAAGGCGGTAATCGGGTCGGAGGCGGATAGGCACTACCTCACGATTAATCGGTGCGACGGTGATTAATCGGTGATAAATAAAAAATAAGTCGGTTTTTAAAATTTAATATAATATATTTCTAGATATTATTTATAAACACTCAAAACATATACAAAAAGATATTTAGAAATGGTGATATCTCCATTATTTATATATCTTAATAACATAATAAAACTTTAATAATAATAAGATCGTAATACAATGAAAATCCTTATAAATACAAATAAAACGCAATTGTTTTGAATTTAAATTTATTTTTGATCAATGAAAGCATGTATCATTAGATTCTTTAACATAAATATTAAATCATAAACTCATTTTATTATTAAAATCCCAACTTTTGTTTTTTTATTAAAAAGTAATAAATAAAATAAAAATATATTTTTGATCGGATTTTGTCACCAAAGTTTGATCCGCCTCCAAGGTTTGACCGCCTCTCACTGTTGGTGGATAACCTACACACAAGTGCACATATCGTACAAGTAATAAAGTGGATTTTTAAGTCCAAGTATCGATCCCACATAAAATATTTAATTATCTAATCCTAGACGCTAAGTTCTACCAATTGCTATCAAGCCCTCCCTACGCAGTCGAAAAAAGATTAATAAACTAAAGTAAACTAAAGCAATTAAAAAGACAAAAGCAGGAAACAAATAAAAACGAAGATTTAACCAGAGAAAGCAAGCCTATGATTTTATTCTTCACCCTATGTGATTATTATTCCCCCAATTCCTTCAATTATGCAAGTAATTAACTAGGATTATTAACCTGAGATGCTAAATTAACCATAACCCGCTTCCGCGTGTATTACGATTCTAATGCTCTAGATTCAATTACTGTATTCCTACGCAATTAATTCTAGAACACAACATTAAGCACAAATCTCAATAATGGCTACCTAAGAGATTAACTATATTCTTATGTTAATACCACAAAGGCTCTTCTACCACAGTTCTAATTATTAACCCGATCTTCCGATTCATGGGATTAACAATAACACAAAATCACATAAGGTGATCAAATTCATGCACTTAATAAAACAAGTAGAAGAAATAATCTGGAATTAAAACTTGCATAAAATCATAGAATTGAGTTCATAAATCCCACATAGGGTTCCAAATAAAATCCTAGAAATAAGAAAATTAGCTACTCATGATTAAAATAAGAATGCAAATAAAATTAATCATAAACGATAAGTCTATGCTTGGAGTCTTCAAATTCTTCGTCTTCGTTATTGCTTTGTTGCTCTTGAAATTGCGTAAAAGATGGATCCCCAATTGTGTGCTTGGCTTGGTCTTATATAGGGTGGAAAATTTGGAGAAGAAGGTAGTTTTCTTGTGCAATTAGGATTCCTTTACTGAGTCTTTTCGTAATCTCGGACGACCGTCCCGAATTTTGTACTAAAACTCGGACGGCCGTCTCAAAACCAGAGACTGCTTCTACTTCTCAGACGGCCGTCCCAGATTTAAGTGTAAATCTCATAAGGCCGTCCCGGGCTATATTTCTTAAGTTTTTTAATTTCTTCACTTTTGGCCCATATTTTCTCTAAAATTGCAGTTTTTACCCCATACTTTTCCAATTCTTCAATTTGTACCTAAAATACAATAAATCAACTTTTTAAGCACCAATTATCCCTAAAACACACCAAAAGCTCCAATTAAAAGGTACGACTAAGTGTAAAAATATACACTTAACACTCACCACCTCAACCCGCTTCGGACCGCCTCAACCCGCCTAAAACCGCCTCACAGGTCAAAACTCGAATTTTCAAACCTTTACACCAAAATCGTAAAGTTTTAAGACCGCCATCACCTCGTAGATCGATTAATCGGCCGCCTATGCCAATTTCTAGAATACTGGTGAAAAGACATAAGTGTCCCTCTGAATCTCTCTCAATCTTTTGTGTTCCATTAAAAAAAATAGATGAAAAAATATATACTAAATATAAATTAATTAATTAAAAAAGAATAAAACAAAAAAATAAAAATAAAAAAAAGAAGAAATTTGGAACACGAAAGATTCCTCAGTTACTCTTTTCAACTATCAAAAGTGGAGTTTGGCTCATGCTTTTTGAATCCTTTACACATGGAGCATGATCACAAACGTGTGAAAGACTCCTCGTATAGTTGGGAATTATTGTGAAAAAGATAGATGAGCTATAGTGGTTTTTTTTTTTTTTTATATATATTATTAAATAAGTTATTGCACTAGGATCTTCACATCTACAAGAAATATAAGCCCAATATCCAAATATGAGAGAAGTCAATACCGATGATGATCTAAAATAATCACGTTACAGCTTTAAATGTTCTTATAGGTGTTGTAACATGCAGTAAAACACTCTACATAGTGTTCATGCCAAGAGATCTTCTATGTTCAGAAATACTCTCATAGGCAAGAGTTGTAGTAAATATACCTGCTAATTGATTTTATGTGGAGACATATTTCATGTAGATAATGTTCTTTTCAAATATATCACGGATAAAATGATGCTTAATATCATTATGCTTAATCCATGAGTTTTGGACAGGATTTTTGAAAATGTCAACGGCACTAGAATTATCCAGTACATGATCAATGTATCACTAGATATGCCTTAATCATTTAATATTTGCTTCATCAAAATCAATTGACCACAAAACAATCATTTATAACATATTTTGATTCAGCTGTGGAAAGAGAGAAACACTTTTATTTTCAGCTGAACCAAGATACCAAAATACGCCCAAGGTAAAAGCAAGCTCCAGATGTGCTCTTCCTACCATTAATGTCACCAGCCCAATCAGATGCACTGAACCGTATAAGATTTGTATGTGCATCCTTAAAATATTTGATTCCTAAATCTAGAGTGCTAGCAACATACCTGGTGATTCTTTCAACAACCTTCAGATGAGTCACCTTTGGATTTGCCAGATATCTTGCACATATGTATACACTAGACACCATATCAGGTGTGCTTGCTATTAGATATAGTAGACTTCCAATCATCCTTCTGTACAAAGTGGTGTCAACACTATCAGCAACATCATCTTTTGAGAACTTCTGGCTTGAACCCATATGAGTTTTCATATGCTTCGCGCTTTCCAAATCAAATCTTTTCACAAGATTAGTAGCATACTTATTTTGGAAAATAAAAATTCCATTGTTTGATTGTTTGATTTGCAAGCCAAGAAAATAAATCAAATTTCCTACCACGCTCATCTTAAAAGTAGTGTCCACATAATGACTTGTTGGGGATCGTGCATGTATACGCAGCGGAATTTAAATTTTTTTAGATCGAACTAGTTTCGATTACATGCATAAACTAATCACATAGTCAACGTACCTTAACGCTTCCGCCATACATATGGTAATTATCGATTTTATTAAAAACATGTAAAATCGAAAATTATAAAACATGCTTGTTCATCATTCAATAAAATCGAAACACGTAATCACATATTACTCATGCTCATAAATTAAAATTCATACAAACATGATCTAATCAATCTACGAAAGTTTCGATTTAATTACCTCTTGTAGCGTGAGATTTCGACGAATCGAAACCTAGAACCAAACACGTACAAGCTGCAAATTACCAATCCTCGGGGCTGCAACTCACGGCTGGAGCAAACTGATCCAGCAGGCGGCGGACGGCGGCGCGTGGCAAAGTCAGCGGCGGCGGCGCGTGGATGGTGCAGCGGCGCGTGCGGCGGTGCAGCGGCGGTGCGTGGATTCCGTCGGGGCAGCAGCTCCTCTCCAATTAGGTTTCACCTCGTATTTTTGACCCACTCGAACTACAGAACTAGATGTAAACGAGTTAGATAAACAACAAGAATAAACGAAGGAGTAGAGAGGAGAAAACCGGCAACTATCGGCGGCGATCGGCGGCGGCGCAGCGGGGCTGCAACGGCCGAGAGGGCTGAGCGGCTAGGCTTGGACGGCTAGGGTTTTGGTGCAAAAATAATCTGATCTCAAACTCTTGTTTGAGGTCTATTTATACTAGGGTTTTCAACCCTTGTGGGTTTAAGTCATTGGGCTTGACCCACTGATGCATTAAGCCCATTCCCTCGTCGGCCTCGTTTCTAATAAACGATCGTTCACAAAATTATAACAAAATTATATTTGTGACGAGCTCAAAGTCCTCGTTGATACGAGTGCCTCTTCGAAATTTCCAATTTCCAAAATTGGAAACTTCCACTTCAGTGGACCTGCTAAATCGGGAAACTTCTCAATTTAGAAAGTTCACTAAATTCCGCATTTCTCTCTTTCTCTACGTTTATTCCGATTCGCAATTCTCAATTACGAATCTTGGATTCAATCATATC